CTTCCTTCCTTCCTTCCTTCCTTCCTTCCTTCCTTCCTTCCTTCCTTCCTTCCTTCCTTCCCTACAGTTTGTCTGAACCAAATTTTTAATTCTGTTTGAAGGTTAAATATCTGGATGTATAATTTAGGAGTGTCCATTTATAATTAAGTGTTCATTTACTGCCACATCTAATTAAGAGTTAACATGGAAGACAATTGCACAGGGACATTTTTCATTTCATTATTCTATCATTTATTGCTCCAATCAAGGCGCACACATATGATGAAATTAAAAATAATAATAAAATGTGTGACATTCTACCCTTCAACACATTATTTAGTATTTTCAGTTATTTATATCTTGCATTTCTTTAGGCTACATGGACAGTACTGCCTCGCCCAATTTCCCCCACAAAACTTCCCCCCCTCTGTAATGTGATCTGAATTCTAATCAGACCCTTACCCACTGCATCATGATTCCCCCCTCCCCTCCAAAGAAACCATAAATAAAAGACAAATACAAATTCGCCTTGTGATGGTATTTGTTCTTTATTTTAAAAAAAGCTACTAGAGATGCCCTAATTCCTTGAAACCACAGACTGGGCAGGAAATATCAGTGTAAACAATGCAACAATGCCCCCCCGCCACTTCCCCAAACTTTCTGGCACACCACCTAGAATGTCCACCCTTTGCCAGGTGGAAGAGCAATGAGGTAAGTGACGTGGGCAGCCAGCCCAGTCACTGCTGCCTCTTGCGTCCCTTCCTGCTTAACAACGGGGCTCCAGCAAAGTCTTTGCACCAAACTGACATTGCAACTATTAGGGAAATTTGGAGGGGGGGGACACTTGCTGCAATCCTAACAGGAAGGACAAGAGGAAGAAGAGGTCTAATTCAACAGGTATGTCCATGGCCGTTGACCACACGAAAGCTAATGAAGACCTCTAGGGCAGGGAGTGGTTGATCTCCACGATCCCACTTCCCAATGGCTTAGGGCGAGTAACTTATGGGCCCAATAAACTCAGCCCCAATCAAGGCAAATGACTATTTATTTATTTATTATATTTAAATGCCGTTCGTCTCTAGGAGGCTACAGAGAATCTTCTCCGCAGCGTAAGAAGGCCAAAGGATACACTGAATTTGACACCACCAGTTTCCCCTAAGAAGACTATGCAGCAGTGCTTGCCCACAAAAACCCCCCAGATTACAGGGCTGGGGCTGTTCAGGCTAGAAAAAAGACCCACCTGCTGAGGGGAAGACACGAAGGGGAAGATGCCCTTCTCCCTCTCAAAACAGTTCAGGACAGGCCAAAGAAAGTCTCCCCTTGGGAAATTAGCATTAACATGCGGAATTTGCTTCCACTGGAATGAGGCGATGGCCTCCCGACCTCAATGGACCAAAAGGGGCATGGAGGGGACTCTTTGTCATGGGGCTATGCACTGCCTGGGGCAATGAGGACTAGATGCTTGAGCTGGAGGGTGCCTTCCTGTCCTACCTCTGGGGCTTTCAACCGGTGCAATTGAAAACAAAATCATAGCAGGCTTTTGGAGATCCAGAGGGCAACGGAGCAAAGGGTGGCCTTCCCGGAGAGGTGGTGGAGGACAGAGACAGTCAGCTCACCCACCTTACTAGGAGCAGGTGCAGGGGGGAGACTGGGACCAAGGGGCCGGTCCTTGGAAGCTGGGGGCTGCAACCAGTAAGCAGATGGGGCCCCCCGCACACTTTTGAATATTTCAATTCACTGAGAGAAACAGCTACAGCATCTTATATTAAGCCATAAGTAGGGGATGGCTCCAGCTGGAAAAAAAATCTACATTGCCAAAAATGTGCAAACTGCAAAAATACAGGTGTGGTTTTATTTATGGTATCATGTAGTATTAACAATTATAGGCAGCCTGGCCTGAATATTTGCACTGAAATATGAACATCTCCTCCTCTCGAGGCTTATCCCCAAAGTACAGCTATCAGGAAGAGATGCCAGTGCTGGTCTGACCCTGGTGGCCACTCTGGTTGTGCAATTGGCCTTGAAAGATCCTGGATCCCAGGCTCTCCCCGGCTGCCGTGTCACAGCTGGATACTCACTGATTGGTGCGTGAAGGGCCACGTGTTCCTGGTAAGGGGTGTAGTACTTGTACTGCTTGCCACAGAATTCGCAGGTATAGTTCCCCGTTTCTACAAAGCAAGAAAACAGTTTTTGGAAGCAGGAAAGGTTTTGCCCAAAAACCCTTGACCCAAACATGGATTGCAATTCAGAGCATAGCAGGGTGGGCCTTTCCCGCATGGCCTCCTATGATGAATCCCAAGCTTCCTTGACCAAGGGGGCCTTCATGGTAACTGTCTGTTTTGCCCCAGCTCTTTTTCCTGGAGAAAGGCGAGACTTCATTTTGCTGAAGTTTGGGAGTGAGCTGTACAAAGCCATCGCAGACAGCCAAGGCTAATTCCCTCTCCAGTTAGTGCTTACGAGCGGGTGGTCATCATTATCATACGTGTTGGTCGTGCCAAAAAGCCAAAACATACTGGCAGAATATCCAAAAGTGGTTGATAGCAATAGTAATAGCAGTTAGACTTATATACCGCTTCGTAGGGCTTTCAGCCCTCTCTAAGCGGTTTACAGAGTCAGCATATTGCCCCCAAGAATCCGGGTCCTCATTTCATCCACCTCGGAAGGATGGAAGGCTGAGTCAACCTTGAGCCGGTGAGATTTGAACCGCC